TGGCAAGGTATAGATTTATAGAAATGGGTTAATTTAAGATAAAAGAACAGTTAGCAAGAAGCCTGCCACAGCCATACAGTTTATAATAATATAAGCGTCTGAGTGATTATTTTATATGTGGATTGTGGGACTGTGGGGCTTGGTGGAAGCTGGAGAGAAGCCCTCCAGCAACAGATAATGAATGGGCAATAAGAAAGAATACTTAACTTAGGTTTTGTAGTGAGACACAAAAATGTGATAGATGATTTATTTTACTGACCATTTGAAACTGAAAAAAAAACTTTGTAAGTTAAAATAGAGATTTCCACTCACAAGAATTCATGTTCATTCATGTATGATATGACAAGCTCAACTACTTATTTTCCAAGACCATAATAGGTTTGTCCAAGGTCACCACCCATAGTCATAGCACCAAGGAGACACAGGGACTTAGAAAGAACTCCACTCAAAAGCTCTCTTCCCTGATGGGCACCAAATAAGAACTCAAGCTTACATTCCTTCCTGTGTTTTTATAACCTCGATGGAAAAACTCATTTGGAGGCACTAATCCCACCCAAACTAATAAAAAGTGATTTATAGATTTCATTTATTCCACATTGTGTGAACATAGATTAGTTTTGCAACAGAAAGCTTGATGTGTTTGATTATGGGATACTGTTCCAGATATCCCAGAGGTATAAGTAATGTGCAGGGCAGAAACTATACCTTTCTCCTAAAGTATAAAACATGCTGAAATGTTGAACCTTATGTCTTTCTAGAGGTGGAACAAGGGGAACCAATGTGTTTACTCTCCTGATGTAGGTTGATGTTTAAACCTGGGTGGCCATGTAGCCCATTCTATATCATATAAGTTTCACCTTTATACAGGAGCTACAGAGCTGGTCACAGAGGTTACATTAATTATTGCTTAATCACTGTGGTCAAACTATGTGACCCAAACATGAGAGGGAAAAGGCTTATTTTGTCTCAACATGTCTGAGATTGCAGTGAGTCCATCATGAGATTGCAGTGAGTCCATCATGGATGCAGTGGGTACACAATGGTGGGAAGTGCATGGTAATGGGCCAACTGTAGAAGAGTGTTAGCATTAACTGGCAGCTTGCCCGTGTTGAGAAGGCAGAAGCAGAGACATTTAGAATGGATCTAGGGTTGGGATAAATCTTTAAAGGTCTCACCTAGTAACCCACTTCCTCCAGTCAGGCCCCATGCCGTAAAGGCGACACAATTTCTCAACACAGTAGTACTGTCTGGGCATTGAGTATTCAAACACATGAATCCATGAAAGACACCTCACATATTTCACACACAGAACCTAGCAGTAGTAAAGATTTCATGAGGTTAAGATCTGAGAATTGAAAACAAAATAAGACAACATGCCAAACAACTTTCACCCATTAGTAATGACTAACGGTGTCATGTTTTCTATATTCCATTTAGAAAAGGACTTAAAGTTTTTTACTGACGAAAAAAAATTTTTTTTTGGTTTTTCGAGAAAGGGTTCTCCTTGTAGTTTTGGTGCCTGTCCTGGATCTCGCTCTGTAGCCCAGGCTGGTCTAGAATTCACAGAGGTCTGCCTGTCTCTGCCTCCTGAGGACTGGAATTAAAGGCATGCGCCACCACTGCCCGGCCTGACTGAAATTTTTTAGCGACTCATGCTTTTACTCACAATACCTTAGAGGTAGACTCAAGAAGATCTCTGTGAGTTTGAGGCCAGCCTGGTCTACATAGTGCATTCTAATCTAGACAAGTCTATGTAGTAAGACCCTGGCACACACACAAAAACTCATTTATGTTGAGTGTGTATGTAAGTAGGCACTGCATGCCATGGTGCATGTGTGGAAGTCAGATGACAGCTTACGGGAATCTGGTTCCTTCTTCCACACTGTGAGCCCCAAGGATCAAACTCAGACATTCAGGCATGGTGGCAAGTGTTTTTTTTTTTTTTTTACCAGCTGAAACATCTCACCGTCTCAGAAAAGTACTTTTTTGGATATACTCTTGACTTTCACTCACAAAATGAGGTGCTTAAATGAGGGAAACACGACACTATGGAGAAAGACCATAACCTCCAAATTTACCTCAGAGCTGTGGGAACTTGGTGACTTTATTCTAGATCTACAGGTGCAAGAAATATGGCAACATAATCATTTGTGAACAAAGTGCCAGTCTGGTCCAGATACGAATCCTGAGCATCTACAGGCAAACAGAATGGCTTCATGCTGAAATGGGTAGGGATTTATTTATAATGACAATGTTTTTCAAACAATACCAGTTACACTTTTTAAAAGCCTGTATGTTTTGTAGTCTGGTGGGAGTGACATCTGTGGTGGTATTATATTCCCCAAAATATTGTGTACCCTAATAAACTTATCTGGGGTCAGAGAACAGAAAAGCCACTAGATACTTAGGATAGACAGTGGTAGCACACGCCTTTAATCCTAGCATTCCAGAGGTAGAAATCCATCTGTTCAAGGATACAGCCAAGCATGGTGACTCATGCCTTTTAATCCCAGAAAGTGAGCCTTTAATCCCAGGGAGTGGTGGTAGAAGGCAGAAAGGTATATAAGGCATGAGGACCAGGAACTAGAAGCTTTTAGCTGGTTAAGCTTTTAGACTTTGAGCAGCAGTTCAGCTGAGAGCCATTGGTATTAAGACACAGAAGCTTCCAGTCTGAGGAAACAAGATCAGCTGAGAAGTTGGCCAGGTGAGGTTAGCTGTGGCTTGTTCTGTCTCTCTGATCTTCCAGTGTTCACCCCAATACCTGGCTCAGGTTTGATTTTATTAATAAGAACTTTTAAGATTCCTGCTACAGACATCAGCAGAAAGAACTTTCTGGATATGGAATGAAGAGGACACAATGGAGCTTCTGAAAGGACTAGTTCAAGGAACAGCTGATGTGGAATCAGTTTGATCGTTTTGATCATGCATGAAATCTGCTCTGATTTTGTTTTTAGTCAGTTCAGAAGCCTAGGTGATTCTTATAGAATACAGCTGTTTCACCAAATCTTTATCACTAGGTGTATGTAGTTAGGACTAATGAGAGACTGATGTGTGTTTCTGAAGAGGTCTAAGATACATCTCTCCTTTCAGTGAGCCCCACGCTCACTTTAAATTCTTACTGCATTGAACTCTTCACCGCATCTACTGTTAAATTTATCAAGGCACCTTTTCCCAACCCAAACAAAACAATATGTTTTCCTTTGTGGTGACTTACTTCATAGGCCAGAAAAGCTAAGTTCCAAGGTTTGCGGTAGTATGTCAAAGTGGTTCCATCCCGCACCCGGTCACAGAGGCCGTTGTAGAACTCATTGTCAAAAGGTGTACTCAGGGGATCCGACCCTAAGATGTTGATCCTGAGAAGAAGCAGACAGGGTTGTATGGGTAAATACCACTGTTAATGCAAAGCAGCCTTCTGTAGTGTGGGGGGGGGGGCTGAGACAGCTTCAGCTCATGTTATTGTCGCCCAACACATGTGGGGTTTCATCGGGAACAGAAGCCAGGGCCTGCTCACTTCGGGGCAGTGGCTTGGCAGAAAGCATGCCTTAGGAGGGTCTTGTAAACTCTTTGGCACCCAGGGCACTGTAAGAGCACAGAAAAGAAGGGCAGGAAGTAGGACACACGGGACCCTCTGGCTCCTGGAGTCTTAGCTCTAAGGCCGTACCTCTTACCTCACATCCCTAGTGAACCCAACGCCAAATGCTGTAACACCAACTATTTAAATTATTTGAGAGCAGAACATCCCAGGGGGGCAGTATAATATACGCATGTAATTTCTCATCTATGAATCAACATCGGGGCTCTTTCTCTTTCTTCCAGTTCCCTTTAAACTTAAGCTCTCCTCCAGCTGTCTTACTGCTTGTCAAGAATCTCACCCCTCCCCCAGGATTATAGTATTCCTGTTAGACTTTCCAAGATGAACATTCAAAAAAAAAAAAAAAAACAGCATCTGAGCAAGGTATTCTCAAAAGTTCTATGCACCATCCCCTTAGCAAAAATATTTTTATTGGGCAAGCTTTAATTCACAGACACAAAGATCCTTTAGCTATTTTTAATTTTAAACAGAAGTTAAGTTTGATTTCCAGGCTTAAAAACAGTATCTGCACAAGAAACTGCTAGCTCTTTGTCAAGTCCACATTTGCGGCCTTGAGGAGCACAGTCATTGTTATGTAGGCAGCTTGGACAGTAGATGGCTCTGAGCCCAGGATGCCAAAATGGAAATTTGTTCCACACACCTGTAACTCCCCAAACAGAAACTTTATCCATTGTTCTAGATCACACACCTAACTCCAATTAACAGGATTATAAATCTGTATATTACCTTCAAGAGCAATTTGTCAGAGCGTGGACGACTTACCATGAGCCCGTTGTTGATACAAAACAAAAAATTAAAACCAAGACTATTACCAATGGGTAGGTTAAAACAACTTCAAAATTTTGGCCTATTTTAACTCACTCTGAGGCTACCAAGAAAGCAACATTGTGGCTCTGTAATGGAGGGACAGTGGAGGACTTTATTTGTAAAGGTTGAGAGACAGATAAAATGAACTCAATGCCTAACTTGCCCAAAAGACCTTTCCCAGATCTGACGTTCCAACACAGAGCTGAAAATTAGAGTGATGAGCTCAAAAAAGACACAGGAACAAATGCCCGGACATTGTGGCTGCTTTATTTCCTTTAATATTCCATCACTTGTTTGTGCTCTGTTTGTTCGCCCATCCCTGCATCAATAGCCCTCCCCACGGCATCATGGGAGGCTTCGTGCTCAACCACGTCAGTTGCTTTGGCCAGTGGCGTGTTGTGGAGAGAAGCCTCTGGACATGAAGAGGCCTCGCGTGTCCCCCCTGGCTTTCCTTTATTTGTGCGATCACCTTGAGAAGGGCCTCCGAGGGAAGCTGCTGCTCCTCTTCAGCTCTGCTGCTCCTGCAGCCCCAGCCTGTATTTCACCAAACCGTGGCGGGAAGTAGTGCCAACCTAGCCGCCACCGCAGTTCAAAAGCAGGGATGCCTGTCAAGCCCAGTCTTGTGACTAATCGCTTCTTGTCTTCCTCTCACTGAGGGCTGGATGCCATTCATCCACCCTGAAGTCATGCAGCAGTGGAAAGAACAGATAATGTCTTTGTTTTTGGGACAGAAGTTCAACGACGTGTTATGGGACAGCGAGCGTTGTCTCGCTATCCACCTTCAGTAGACTCCTTCAGAGAACAATGAAACTCACCTTCCTTTCGAATGAGTAACCTTTGGGTGACTAATTACTACATCTATGTGTTTGTAGGAAATGGGGCGATGTGGATATAGTTAATACACAATTGTCTCCCACAAAAATTCCTTGGAAGTTGAGGGGGGTTGGAATATAATTATCTATTTAAAATTAGTTTGGGAAGAATATACTGTGTTAAATAAGTAGTATAAGTAAATGCTGTGTAAGGTCCATGTTATACAAGGAAGAGAGCATCATGGGAAAATCATAAAAGGAGTTTAAATGGTTTGGTTTGGGCTTCGATGGGTTTCAAACTGGGATGGTGCTGGGCATACAGGAGGAATGATGTGGGCAAGATCTCACATGTGGCACACTTCAGGGGTAGTATTCATATTTGTGTACCTTCTAGAGGAATTTAATTAGTTATGCCTTCCTAAACATTTTAGTGAGGCACCTAATGTTTTTCATCTTAAGCCTAAATAGTTGCGAAAGATATAATCCCATCAGCCTATGAATACCTACTAAAAATATAATTACTGTTCTATATGGAAAAATAAATATAATATATATCAATGGGATAATAAAGGAGCATATAGTCCTCCCACAGAATTTTAACTTAATATAAAATACAATATAATTAATATTGAATAATCTTGTTGATCACCTTTTTATGCTTTGCTGTATCAAAATATATTAATTGAATATTTTAAGTTTTAATTGAATATATTAAGTATTAAATTAAACATATTTAAAGTATGTTCCTTGACCATAGAGTGTAAGTATTAAAACACATTGTAAGTGGTATATATAAGTATGTTAAAATTTTTTTTTTTTTTCAAGACAGGGTTTCTCCATGTAGCTTTGCGCCTTTCCTAGAGCTCACTTGGTAGCCCAGGCTGGCCTTGAACTCACAGAGATCCTCCTGGCTCTGCCTGCTGAGTGCTGGGATTAAAGGCGTGTGTCACCACTGCCCGGCACTAAAAAAATTTTTAAGTCATTATCAAACCAAGTAAAAATTGTATTGGAAAGCTATCCCAGTGAAATGAATTGGCCTTCTTTTCAAATTAATAAATAAATTTCTATATCTGTAGATAAATGTTACTTAGTGCTCCTAAGAGACAGGGCTCAGCACCAATATTACTTTACTTTCACTTCCCATTTTATGGATGGAAATGATGATAAATTTACTCACATGGATAAGAAGATAAGAGTAGAAGGCATTTTGTTATAGTAATGTCATTCAATTTCTTAATCTTATGTATCAAAAAGATTGCACACACAGTAGCCTTTTATAAAAATTGCTTTATAGTCCATTTACTGATTATTGGTTAGAATTTTTAAAAAGTGGAGACCATTTTATTCCTAAGGCATTAGAGTCTAATTGAGCCTGAAGATCTGAAATTGGGTCTTGGGTTTTCTACCATGAATTATTAGTGAGGTGGATGAGCAGTTATTTGGCTTTTGGAAGGTAGATGATAGGTGTGAAAAGGCTGCTAGAGTCCTGGAGGCATGTATCACAGTTGGTAGAGTGTTTGTCTCACATGCATGAAGACCTAGGTTCAGTCCTCAGCACCACACACAGCCTGGTATGGTGGAACAAACCTATGATCGTGAGCTATGTACAAAGTTCCTGTCTTAAAAGAAATAGTGATGGATTTAACAACAACAACAAAATATGCAAGAAAGGATGTAGCAGCTATTGCCTCGCATTTCTAAATTTTATGAAAAACAATACGTATGGAGGTTGAGTCTTAGTGTTAGATCAGTTACATAATTAATAATTGAGGAAACTGACTTAAAGCTTACTTGCCACTCTCCTGAAGGTTCTTATGTGCCCTTTGCTGTGCATAGTCCAGTTTGAAGGATATTGTTTCACAGAATATCACAGTGACCAGTTGGCTGGATCCATCTGGAAAGTTACAGAAGCCAATAAAGTCTAAAGCACCACTAAGGGAGAAATGTTTCAAAAACCTTTGACTCGATTCCACTCCTACAGAGACAGCCAGTCTGCTCTAAAATGAGCCAATATTTTTCTGCCAAGAAACATGAAAAGTGCTCATGAATAGAAAAGTCATCACCTGGGAAATTTTAAGAAAAAACGTGTTCTTTGGCAGTGTTGAGACATGGTTGCTTCCACAGCTGCCCCAGAACCACTGGCAGCTCCAATTCACCAGGTGAATGACAAGAAAGCTCCCTTCACAGAAGTAGAGTTATGCTTAGATCACAAAAAAAGGCATTCCTTACATATTGCACATCATTTACAGCTGGTTTTGATTTGTGCTTTTTCAATGAATGCAAGATGGCCTGGAGGACTTCCCTGAACATTTGTGGAGGATCTCAGATGCCTACAAGACAGAAGTCTGAAACATTCGTAAGACAATGGAATTCTGCCAGAATAGCAACTTACATGAGAGTCCTTCAAATGGATAAAGATTAACTCATTACATCAAGTTCCTGTGACTTGCCCATGTAGAGAGTAGGGGTGTATGAAACAGTAGGTTGGATCTATTGGGGTTTCCCAGACTGAACTGTGAAGAAGCACTTGCTAAGCATACTGCTCTGAGGGGCTTCTTTTTATTCCTGTGGTGGTCTCATTGAGGAATGCACCCCATAGGCTCAGGTATTTGAACACTGGATCTCCAGTTGGTGGTGCTGTTTGGAAAGGTTTAAGAGGTGTGGCCTTGCTAGAGGAAGTATGTCACTGGGGTCAGGCTTTGAGATGATATAACTTCACCCTATTTCCATCTCTCTCTGCTTCTTTCTTGAGTTAGAAGGTGTGATCTCTCAGCTTCCTGCTTTTCCCACCATGCTCATGTGATGTCATGTCTTCCTGCCATGACAGACTCCTATGTGTCTGGACCTGTAAGCCCAAATAAACTCTTCTTCCTATAAGTTACTTTGGTCTTAATATTTTCTCATAACAACAGAAAACTAACTAATACAATCCCCATTACCTTTATTTCACATGTATTTCAAAGCTATGTGGGAATGATAGAGGTTTATTATAAATATCCAAACTTCATAGAATTGCTTATAATCATATAACAAAACATCTTTAAACTTCTAGATATTAATGGCTGATTTGCTAATCAAAGTATTCTAATATATATATATTGAAAAAAAAAGAAGAGAGAGAGAGAGAGAGAGAGAGAGAGAGAGAGAGAGGAAGGGTCTGGCTGCACAGTCAAAGCTGCTTTTGAATGAATGATCCTCCTGCCTTAGCCTCCCAAGTGTTAGAATTATGGGCGTGATAATAAATAGCTGCTTAAAGCATGTCATTTTTCATTACATTTATTCACTTTGTGTGTGTGTGTGTGTGTGTGTGTGTGTGTGTGTGTGTGATGCAGGTGTCACGGAGCAAGTGTGGAAGTCAGCGGACAACCTACAGAAGTTGAGTTCCAGGGATCAGACTTAGAATGTCAGACTCAGTGTCAAGTGCCTCCGCCCACTGAACCATTTCACCGGCCCATGGACTATCATTTTGCAAGCTTAGTTCTGCTTTTCAGAAAAGGCCTTGACTTTAGGTCTTTGAAGTGGTTTGGAGAAGTGTGGGGGTGGGGGTGGTGAAAAGGAGAAGGGAGAAGAGGTGTGGTAGAGAAAACATGGCTCTATGCGATACAGAGACACTTGGGGTCAGTTCCCTGAAACACTCTCCAAACGGCTTAAATTATTTCATTTAGTTCTTATTTACAAAACGAATATAAAAGCATCCCCCGACAAAGTCACAGGGTCATGCTGACAATCGATAGAATGTACAAAGTGAGTCCGAACAATTCAAGGCATTATGCAAATGACAGTAGTAGTCGCCTTTATGAAAACTAAACTTGTTAAGGATTTTTGCTCCTAATAGTAGGGAATTCAATGAAATGTGTTGATAGACTGATTCTGTCAGGACCTACCTCATTTTCCATGTCTGCAGCTGATCTTTCCCATAGCTGGGCCCCCTCCTCAGCCTTGATGGCTCAGCCTCATGATGTTCCCCAACACCACCCCTGACTGTAATAAAGCATGAGGTCCTAAAAGTTCTTTGCCAGTTCTCTAGGATGTCTCCTTAGGAAACTTGCCGGCAAATGCTGTTACAACTTTTTCTTCCTGCACCCTGCCTCCCCTCCCCCACCCCCAACAAAGGAAAGCATTAGATTATGAATGATTGTTTTTTCAGTCAAGTAGGCCAACATTTCTGTATTCTTTTCCCGTAAGACAAACTATAAATTTGCACTGAGTGAGAATAAATAACATATGTGATTCCCTGTTTCAAGTTCTTTCATTGAGATTAGAGATAAAACTTTTTTTCCCCTGAGGAAAGATGAAGAGAGGTTTGGGATAATTTGAGTCCATAGCAATCTGCTTAGAAGAGTTTTGGACAACCCTGTACTGTTAACTGCCATTTTCCAAGATTCCTGGCCTAAGACAGTCCATTTGATTCACAAACACAGCTTTTAATCTAAGGGCCAAAGGCACTGTGGGTAATATTTGAAAGTCATTTGAGTAAGGTTTTTATGAAGTGAATAAATGGTGTGTGAAACATTTATCTTGTGCCTGACTCTTGATAGCCTAGAATTTTGTTCTTATGTTCATTACATAGATGTTTCCTCTGACCTCAGAGAATAGAAATCTTTACTTTCAGCCACATCCAATACTGAGGAATTAGTCCTCAGTGTAGGGTTTTTTGACCCCAGTATCACTGACAATGTGGGGCTGTGAGGTAGTAGATGCTCAACATCAACATTGCTCACCTCTAACCTCTAGTGTCAGGAGCGCCCTCTAGTGTTGTCCTCCACAAGCACTGACCATTCAAATGCTCTTTAGACATTCATAGGTGTTTCCTGTGTGAGAATCACTGGACCCAAGAAAGTGTATCACTCTAACTCTTCTTCCCGCTGTGTTCTTACCGTCTCTGCCATCTTCTGCCTTCTCCCCATCTTCATTTCAATTATGAACCTCTGTCCCTGAGATTCATCCTAGGAGTTTCCATCCTATCAGATATTACCAGTGTTTCAGAAGGTACCTATGAATAGGTTTTTTTTTTTTATCCATTAAATAATTCACCTGCTTATCTACCCACCAACTATTCACTGAGCATCTATTTTGAGTCAAGAATGAAGCTATAAGGATAAAGAAAATCATGACATGCTAGATGGTGAAATAGAACCATTTACTCCTGTCAGTGCAAGATGTGAGAACACCTGCATCTCTGTCATGGGCGAAATTATCCAGCTCAAGATAGTTAAGCAAACTAAGCACTGAATGTCCCTGGAATGCATTGCAACTGGAATGGAATAGATCAGGACCTCAGATCTGTCATCCTCCCGATTCCTGGAGCACAGGTATCTGCAGAATCCTCTCTGCTCCATATACTCCCACGTTCCAAACTCCTAAACTTCCTTTAGAGCGCACAGCCCAGAGCCCCTTCATTTTGTGTGGAGAATGAGTTGCCTGTCAACTTTCTACAACGAGACCCCCAAACCCTATTACCCTCTGGCATTTATAAGGTAGTCTTTTGATACCATTTCTTCTTGCTCAACTGCAGAATGCTTGAACTTCCTCAGAATTTATAATCAGTTATCAATTCAAGAAACATGACAGTGAAGGGTGTCCATCCTAGGAATTCAGATGTTGTAATGGACTTGCCACACCTGCTGGGGGATATTTAATTCTAAATGTTGACATGTCGTGTCAGTGTTGCTGTGGTCTTCCTGACATTTGTGCATGAGATGCACCATCTCCTACTGACTGAGAGTGAAACTCAGCCAATGGACTCCTACTGAGGCCAGGTGGTATCCCAGCATACTAACTACATATTCTGGGGCCTCAAATGAATACAGATTACAGTTTGCATCAACTGTGCCCTTGGTATAAATCCCTTCTATGTATTCTTTGCCATGGGGAAAGAGTTGGAGGCCATTTCCATTCATTCATTTTCTCCTGGACAGATAGATTCAAGTGAAATGCGTGGAATACAAACCCATAGCCTGCTGTTCGTCCCAGCTCAGATTCTTCTACCACTCTGTCACGGCAGGGGGGTCGTGGATCGCTGTCACAGTTATCCTCATCCGAAAAATCTCCACAGTCGTTGTCACCGTTACACAGAAGTCGCCTCTTTATGCACCTGCCTGCAGTCAAAATCAGGAAACAGACTGTGTGTAATGCTGAATTTTCTCATTTGCTGAAGTCACTGTAGGCACCTTAACATTGAAAGTTAGTGCTAGACACACTTGAGTTCTTTCTGTAGAGTACATAGCTATCCCTTATTGGGAAGCCATTATATGTCTACCTATGACATATGGATTTGTTTTCACTCACTAGTGTACACAGAAGGCTATAGAGAGCAACTGGACTCTCAGATCACCTGTTCCACATTGGAAGTCATTCCCACAGTTGTCCTGTGCCTCCTGACACTCCTCAGTCGGTACACACTGTTGTCTGTCTCCCAAAGCATCAACACAGCTTTTCCCATGAAATTGTCCAAAGGCTTCAATGCTTCTTGAGCGAAACTACAAACAATAAAAAAAAAAAGGACAGCTGAAAATATTATATTTCCTAATGTAAAAGTGGATTGTGGTCTAAAGCACTGGTCCTCAACCTTTCCAATGCTGCAATTCTTTAATACAGTTTCTCCTGTTGTGGTGACCCCCATCATAAAATTACTTTCATTGCTCCCTCGTAACTGTAATTTTACTACTCTTATGAATTATAATGTAAATATATGTCTTTTCGAATGGTCTTAGACAACCCCTATGAAAGAGTCATTTGACCCTCAAAAGGGATCAAGACCTACAAGTTGAGCACTGCTGGAATAAAGCAGCATCTACACCACTTCAGGCCCCACACCCAATGGGCCCATGATTTTAAGAGAGAAGTGGAAGAAACCACCACTGATATCACTTAACATTAGTACTTCACCTTCTAGGTTGTGGAGTCTCTTACACACATGAAATATCATAAACATCTACCCAGTCTGCTGTTCAACATGCAGGTTTCTTAATCAGATCAGACACATTCATTTCAGTGATTACCTTTTCCTGGGTTGGAATTTGTTTCTGGGGGTCCCTGCCCCCTAGCCATTTCTGTGAAGATGCCAGTTTTCATTTGAGGAGGTCAGGTGAATGGATTCAAATGCTTACCATTTCTTTGAGGCAAGGATCACACTGTGACCATTCACTCCATGGGCTCATTCTGCAGTCTATGGGCAACAGAGAGTCTTCTCTTTCTATGAATGCTTCACTACAATGAAGATGAAAAAGTATCCATTTAAAATGACCATTATGTACACCTCTTTCCAAGAAGCCTTCCAAAACCAATTTTATGTATTTACTACTTTTCCATCCTTAAATCATAGTGTTTATTCTACACACACACACACACACACACACACACACACACACACACACACACACACACAAATACGTATATACGTGTGTGTATGTGTATACATGTTTGTGCATGTGTCTGTGTGTATGTGCATATGCAGATGTACATGGATGCAGTTGAGGCAAAAGCTCTTCAGATGTCTTCCTTAGGTGGTCTGCTTTAGTTTTTGAGACAGGGTCTCTCACTGGATCTGGAGCTTGTAGATTTAGCTGTGCTGGGAAGCCCCCCCCCCAACTCTAGGGATCTATTTGTTTCTATCCCCTTCTCCACCCTAGTTGGCTTACGAATGCCCTCTACCATAACTGGCTATAAGTAGTGGCCTGTGGATCTGAACTCAGGTCTTCACACGTGTGTTTACTTTACCGACTAATTCGTCTTGCCAGCCCTCTCTATATTCCTTACTGTGTGTCCCATGACACTTGAGCACATGATATTCTGTATCTTCAATTCATTCTTTTGTTTAATTCTAACTTACCAACAACAGCAGTAATGATGGTAACAAGGACAACCAGCAAGGTGTCCTGATGGGTATTTGACACTGACTCAACTTTTTTTTTTTTTACAAGTATGTGGTGAACTCATTGAAGCTGGAAATCTTGTTACACTTTCTTTGTGCATCTCACTCATCCCCTGAGAGGCTGGCAAAGCCTGGAGTTGCCTGGCTCTCTTGCAAAGTTAAGCCAGCCAGCCCAACCATTCCTGTAGCAAACACCTCGTAAACCAACTCCCTGCCCCCCAACCTCCATGCTTATGTTCCAAAAGAGATGCTTTCCTGCTTTATAGCCCACTTCAGGACTTATTCATGATCTTTTTGAGCTTCAGCATCACGTGTTTTAGCACTTACAGCTTCCCCTTCCATCTCTAGGCACAGTGCTCAGCCTTAGTTCTCAGCCATTCTAGTTCCGAATGGTTTTACCATTTGGTTTACCATTGGGTCTCTTCTTACCACAGCCCCGCCTTGGGTACGTAACCCCATTAAGTGACAAGGAAGAGACGCGGCAAAACAAAACAGAAACTACCCAACCAGAGTCTTACAGATATTTTACCTTTGCTTTCCTAGCTCAGCATCTGTCCTATTAAAACTCTTACACCAGGAAGAGGTCCAGGTCGGGTCAGTCCCTCCACAAGAATGTTCTAGAGCTCAGCTCCAATTTGAAGCTGATTAGCTGAGTGTCTCCTCCTATTACTCTTCTTCATAGTTATCTCCCTCCAGTATAGTGCAGTGTATTATATGAAGTTAGGCCAATAAACGAGCCAGTTAGCCATCCTCTCCACACTCCCGTTTTTGCCAGTGGTCTCATCTCTCTCCTGCCCTCCATGCCAACACATTTTTTTTTAAAACACTGCAATAAATACTTTTATGTCTCTCTCTTCCCTCAACAAGTCTCATGTCCTTCAGACATTCATGCTTCTTGAGCCATTTCAAATTCCTCCGTGCTTCCTTTTCCTGCAAAGTGCTTGAAAAAGTACCTTGCGCTCTGGTCTGTCTCCTTCCCTCCCGACCATTCCCTAACTCTCTTGCCCCATGCCCTCTGCCCTTGCTCATCAGGGATGGTCCTGTGGCTAACTCACTTCCTCTCAGTCATTATCTTATTGGCTTCTCCTCACCATTTACTGCAATTGGCCACTCATATTCAGTATTTCCTCTTCTCCTCTTTTTAATTCCTTGGCAGGTTCATAGCGGTACGTGATGATTTGTAGTCATCTCGGCTCCATTCTCCTCTCTCATCCCCACTCTGACCTGCAGAAACCCTTCTTATGCTTCCAGGGCTTCTCTTGTGTGTGACCCACTCAGTTTAATTAGGGTTGCTTTCATGAGTGAGGGTGGCAGGTTATTTTCTGGGACAAAGGCAACTTAGCACTTAGCTACTGGGTATGGATGTTGTGCATCCATAACAATGTACCCAGTCTTGCTTTGTGTTTATGCAGATAACCAAGAGGCAGAGAGTTCACGTTATGTCTAAAAGACATATTTTTGCTGTATATCTCTCCATCCTATGACTCTTAAATCCGTTCCTCCTTTTTCTGCAGTTTTCCACAATCCATGAAGGGGATGATATAGTGGACCCTTTTATGACCAAGTATTCCACCATCTCTTTTCTTAGCTGAGCAACACTAGACTCTTTTTCTCATATCTTTTCTCTGCTATTTTTAACTGCTCTATTTTCCTCTTTGGATTCTCCTCCTCCACAGTCCTTCAAGAGCTATTTATCCATTGAGGTGCAGTCATTTAATTCTCCTCCCCTCCCCTCCCCTTCCCTCACCTCTTCTCTCCTACCCTCTCCTCTCCCTTCCCACCCCCTCCTCTCTTCTCCCATCTCCTGTTTTCTCTCTTCTCCTATGCTTTTCCCAGATCCATGGTTTCCACATGTGTGCTAATGATACCCAGACAGAGATAAACGTGCTGTCCAGACATCTCTCCTGAAGTTTAAACTTTCACATCCAATTCTCAACTCTCCATCTGTACTTGGACATCTTCATGGCCCATTGACCTCAATGTTTTCCCAAATGAATTCATTATTTTCCTTTTCTTTCAGGACTGCTCTTTCATTTATGAGTTATCCTAGCCAAAGACAGGGTGTTACTTGTGTAATTCTCTATCCCCCCCCTCATTTCTGACATCTAATTGAGCACTGAAACCTGTTGTTGGCAGTCTTGTAAATGATTTTCCAATCCATCCTTACTTCCTAATATCTTCCAGATGTTCTTCTGGTTTACACTAATATAACATCTCTTCTAGCTGACTCTGGTAATTTCTTTCTCACTTAGCTTACATATGGCATCCAGAGGGATCTTTTAAAAAAGCAAACTTAATGTTACCCTGCCCCTACTGAAAACTCTCCAATAGTTAGAAAGACTACTTGTGTGACAAGGCTCACATCTTTCAATATGGTATGGAGACTGCCCCCTAGAGATATTTAAAACCCTTGGTCTCCATGAGTGTTATTTACACATCAAAAGAGACTTTGCAGACATGATGCATGGGAGGTTATCCTTTGCTTTTTAGTGGACTCATTCTAATCATGTGAGATCTTAAAAGGAGAGTTATTCATTGAGGCATAAAGAAAAAAGAGGCAAGAGAAACCCAAGATCTGAAAAGAGATTTCATCTATATTGCCAACTCTGGAAATGAAAGAATGGGACAATAATTAACACTAAAGTCTTTTTGAAAAAAAAAATCATATAGAAACCTACTACTGTAGAAGCTTCCTAAAATGTATACATATATCAAAGGAATGTAAGTGGAGTTACCCTATAAAAGGGATACGGTACCTCAATTAGGTATCATATGCTACCAAATAAAGTAGTCAGTACTAGGAATGGGTTATATATTTTAAGTTGTTTGTCAATGGGGTCTCATAGGCCTCCTAAAACATTATAGGCTGTGGCCGATGCTCTTGGTTACAACTTGACAGTCATACCCTATTGCTGAAAACTCGTGTCATTCAACACGGAGAACTGTAGCTGGTACCTAACTGGAAGCTTCATCTTTAGTGGCTAGCATCCATAGCCCTGGAATGTGTTGTGCACATGACTGGAGGGGGGAAAGTAATCACCACTCCCTCCCAGTTATGAACATTGTGAACCACAATAATGAATTGCCTAGTCAGGTATACCCCCTGGTACCGTAGTGGCAGAAATGTGGGAGTAACCAATCATCTTTTAAAATTGGACTTGAGGCCAAATCCACGCTCTCCAGGATTAGCCCTCACTTTCTGGAAATACAGGTTAAAAATTTATAACACAGATGCCAAAACTCCTAGCAGAATCTTTCTATAAGATGTATGTTTGAAGTTGCCTAGCTAAGGAATTCTCTACTAGAAGTTTTTCATTAAAGCTTCTTTGGAACTGACAGGTTTCAATAAGCAGTGGTAGAGATACTCTGCGTTCTATACTGGTTATACTTCGTAATCTTGAGATATTAAAAATAGTAATTTGGGGTGTGGATAGATAGTGGTTATGAGCAATTGTTGCTTTTCCAGATGATCCTAATTCAATTCCCACCACCCACATGATGGCTTACAGCCATTTGTAATTCCAGTTGCAGGGGATCAGATGCCCTCTTTTGGTCTTGGGGGTCACCAGGCATGTAGGTAGTATATAGACACACATGTAGGCAAAACAACCGTACATAAAATACTTCATGGCAACATCTGGTGGAAATCCGTGATAAGTGAGGGTGTAGAATAAATATAGGTGTGGGGGTGCTCGTTATTTCAGCGTTACTCAGACTTGAGCTCATCATTGGCTTAAATATGTCACTGAAGTAGCCTATCACTGGTTTCAGACATTACATTACACTTTGTCTATTTATAACATGATCCATGATCCATTTCAACATCTTGGTGCCTCAAATTTGACAATCAGTTCTTATCTATCCACTGCTCACTTGGCATTAGATAGATGCTAGCATTTCCTTCCAGCATCTCCCCAAGGGTGATCACCTCTTTGGTTTCTGAAACCACCCTATAGACCAGCGCCCTTAGATCTTTATCTCTCAACTACCTATCAGAGGGTATGATGCATATTAGAGAATCGTGCTTGGGAGGTTGAACCCACTGAAATACTCCAAAGGCAGTTATAGTTCTGTATTGGGTACAACTAGATCCTGATCAATGATGGGGGCTGGGGAGATGTTCTGTTCCTCTGCCCACACATTGGTGACTAAACCCTGCTGTAGTGACCGTGACCTTGCTTGTATGCAGCTTTCTAAAGGCCTTTGCATTAATAACCCATGTTTACTGTATGTGCACTTGCTTCTCTCCTTCTTAACATCTTGTTTAAGAACTCTTTCTGCTTCAACAATCTCACTCCAGTTTGGACTTAGTACAAAGCGCCCAATCCTCACCTTT